TATATATATATATACTCACGTAGAAGACGCGTTAGGATGACAAAATATACTCTGTGTTTACTGGAACAGTCTTCCGCCCCATAACATTCCATAATCAAGTAGGCGCATAGCTCTTGTTCCAATATTTGCATCCACACCTGGGCTGTATCTATATACTGTCTTGGTTTGGCATTGACGGTTCATTAGCGATGCTGCAGTTGAACGTCGGGCTAGCCTAGGCCCTGCTCAAGCTGGTCATAACGTTTGGTCTTCATCTTTACCCTAGCTGCACTGATGAGGCCTAGAAGGCCGAAACGGATCCGTCTGCAGATATTGGGATTTTTTCCAGTGGATATTTAGTTTGTTTTGAAATTCTTGATCGGATTTTCTCTACTGTTCCGTTTAAACTTTATATTATCATTATTTGCATTTATGTGGCTGCTCGTTGTTTTTATGGGTTTATCCCATTTGCCATTAAATTTATATATATCTTCCTTCTTAAACTTCCACAGTTTTATGTATTAATTTTTGTTAATTTTAGATTCAACAGTAAACTACTGTCTTGGTTTGTTACGTTTAATGGCGACGTTGTTGGAGAACGATCCTAGCATAACTTATGATTCTTACGAAGATGCATTCGATCAAATACAGAAACTAACAGTTGTTCTAAAGGAAATGGGAGCGGACCTTAGACAAATTGATAATGGTTGTATCAGATTCCATCTCTCATTTTATCAGTTATCTGATCTGGAGAAGTTTCGACAAATACACAGAAGTGGAAAGTTGTTGAACATGTTTGCCAGGATTTTACTTTCTGGTGTTAACCTAGACCAATGGAAATTGTCGTTACATAAAGGTATGAATTTATAAACAGATATATATATATATATATATATATATATATATATATATATAATTAAACATAATATATAGATTATTTAGGGCATGTATTTTTGTTTATTGACAATTACCCTAAACAAAGGCTAAAGAAGCAACTCAGGCTAAGGGGTTACGTATTTAAAAGAAACAGTTTACAAGAAGTTTGTTTTGAGATCAGAATATACGGTAATTATTACTTAATACATCATTCTTGAGGTATTAAGTAAATATGATTTTTATATAATATAAAAGATTTACAAATATAACTAGGCTTGAACTCGTCACTTAGGACGAGTTAGGTTATCTGCTTCTCAAGTAAAAGAAATCTCTCTGTGCTTAAAAAGTATGAATTATGGAAAAATAACATAGCCATGGCAATCAAAATGCAGTTAAGTATCAAGTCTGTCACCCTCTCTCGGGTCGTCAAAGATTTAAAGAAAGAAAGAAAGAGTAGGAGAGGGCCAGAAAAACCTTCATTTTGACCATGATGACGTCACCAAAGTAAAAAAAAAAACACGAAATATTGTGGAAGGAAATTGCGTCACCTATAACATACTTAAAGGACCTGTGAAATATAGCTGGAATATACCGTTTTAGGATCATCATAAAATATATGCCAAATCATCATAAAAAGATGTGCCAAATTTGGAATTAAAAATATCGGCTTCATTAGGTAATTTATTGATTTGTATGTTCTTACTGCAAACCTGCCAAAAATTAATGAAGTATACAAATCTGCGATGTGACGTCGTTATTGCCTGAATTAAGGTTGCGTAATCTCATCATGGAGGTATTATTGAGAATAGTCCTCCAGAAATACGGGTTTGAAGCACCAAAGTTGGACATAATTGCAACAAAACGTTTTTGTATGAATATATATAGTTACCCATGTAACAAGCCCACAAGGGACCCATATCATGGTGCCCATATGCAGATCTATATGGGTACCATATGTGCTATCCTTGAGGAAACCTCCGGATTTTTCACCCAAGATCCATGTGGGGCCCATCTGATTTAACCCATAGCCCAGATATAAACCATTTAGGGCCCATATGGAACCCACATGAATTTTTACATAGGTAGCATATGGGTTTCCCATATGGAACCTATATTTCCCGACCCATATGGATAACATATGGGCTATCCTTGAGGAAACCTCCAGATTCTGCACCCAAGCCCCATGTGGGGCCTATGTGGTTTAGCCCATAGCCCAGATATAACCCATTTGGGGCCAATATGGAACCTATATTTCCCATCTCATGGGTACCATATGGACTAGCCCTTAATGTGGAGCCCACATCTTTCAGAGAAACCATATGGGGCCAACATGGTACCCTCATGCATTTGTGCATGGGTGGCATATGGGATTCTCACATGGTACCCATATGCAATTGCACATGGGTGGTATAGGAGGCCTGTCACGCCAAAAATTGTCCGGGCCAGAATCGGTCCCCCGGACCGATTCCATTATTAGTCCGGGGGACCGACTTTAGCCGCCAAAATCATTCCTCCTTGGATAATATTGGTCCGGCCAGGACTAGTTTTGGCTTAGCCTAAATCGACGTTCCGCCTACGCCTGCTACAGTGCTACACTATACAGGTTTGGTGTCAACCAATCACAGCACAGTGAGTCGGAATATCTGGAAACAAATGTGCAAACTTATTAATTATAGTCTTCAACCTGTCTCTTATACACATCTAGATGTGTATAAGAGACAGCAATATAACAATGAACTCGAACTACTGCCTTTATATTTCTATGTATCTTTATTCAACATCACATATCCCAGGTCTTGCCTGTTCCGGATCTGAGCACCAACTACTTCACTTCAATGTTTTCTGCCTATACATATTAACACCCTAACGACATAAACATGTATTCACCATGGTGGTAAAAAGCCAGCACAAAGGCAGTAAGGTTATGTAATCCAGACAAGTGTCTGGCCAAATCTGACCTTGCTTGTGGAAACAGTCACATTAATTATCGGACCATGATTGTGCAGAAGGTCTTATCAGTTATAGAAAGAATCTGGGATGAGTATGCCTTTGGGCTACCCTAACACCTCCCTTCTGAACCCAAAAAAAAAAAAAAATTGGCGAAAGCTTTTACTTTACAGTAATATTAAATATTGTCCCACAGTAATAAATACTGTCACATAACACCTCCCCCTAAACAGAAAAGCTTGAGGCGACAAACATTTTTTGTACACAAAAGTAAACCGTGTGACTACAGTACATATCAATATTAAATACAGTAGGCCAAAAGAAATTGAAAACAAAATTATTTAAAAAGATATCAGTGAGTTACAGCATTTTACGTTTGAGTTTCTCTCTACAAAATTCGCGACAATGCATCAGCGATGACATTGTCTTTTCCCTTGATGTGTTTAATATCCAAATTTTATGACTGTAAAATCAAACTCCATCTTAATATTCTCTGATTGTTATTTTTCATGCGATTAATAAATGTCAGAGGATTGTGATCAGTATACACCACAAGTGGTTGAATTGTACAACCTACATACACATCAAAATGCAATAATGTTAACAATAAAGCTAAACATTTTTTCTCTATAGTAGAGTAGTTTCGTTGGTGGCAATCAAATTTCTTCGAAAAATAAGCAATGGATTGATCAACATTATGTACACCCTCTTGTAACAACACTCTGCCCACTCCCACATTACTAGCATCATCGGCAATCTTAAAAGGCTGCGTGAAGTTTGGTGCTTTTAACACAGGATAGTTTATTAAGATAGCTTTGATGTTATCAAATGACTGTTGGCATTGATCATTCCACACAAATTTCTTCACACGCCTTTTCGTTAGAGTGGATAAGTTCGGACAAAATTTACGATAATATCCCGCCATGCCGAGAAATCTCATAACCTCTTTCTTAGTGGTTGGCGTTTGAAAATTTACTATTGCGTCTACTTTTGCCATACGTGGTTTCACCTGTCCATTACCAACTATATGTCCTAAATACTCTACGGTAGCATAACACAATTTACTCTTGATTAAATTAACGATTAGATTTGCATCAGATAAACGAGTACCGTAAACAATGCCACTATTTGTTTTACATGGGCTTCCCACGTGTCACTGTACACAATAACACTCACAATTATCTAAACAGCTGTAATTCTGTTCATTAATCTTTGGGAAGGTTGCTGGAGAATTTTTCATACCAAATGGCATCATTTTATATTCATATAGGCCCCCTACAGTTACAAATGCCGATACCTATTTGGCTCTTTCAGTCAGGGGAACTTGCCAATAGCCTTTTAGTAAGTCAAACTTACTCACATATTTAGCATTGCTATTTTATCTACACAGTCATCCACTCTAGCTATGGGATACGAGTCCGTCTTAGTTACGTCATTGACCTTCCTAAAACCGGTACAAAAACGATATGAAGCATCAGGTTTTGGTACTAAAATACATGGCGAACTCCATTCACTACTACTGGATTCGATAATGTCGTTTACTAACATGTATTTGATTTCATTGTCCAAATGTGTAGCCTTAATAAGATTAATTCGGTACGGATGTTGTTTAATTGTAGTTGTACCCTCCACATTTACATCATGGGACAGTATTGTTGTCCTAGTCGGAATATCTGGAAACAAATGTGCAAACTTATTAATTATAGTCTTCAACTCTGTTCGCTCACCGTCATTTAAATGACAAAATTTCTGATCCAAATTAGATAGAACATATTTATTCTTCAGTCTAACATCACTTTCATTACTCTTATCTTTAACTGTATCAGACTTCTTTACATTCACATTAGTTTCATTATTACAATGTTGATCATGAATTATATCATTGTCATTGTATGTATCATATATAGTCATTGTATTAACCGGCTTGGCTACATCAACATCACTACGCTTAACATATTTTTTAAGCATGTTAATGTGACACACACGCTTTAGTTTGCGCCTTCCTGGCGTTTTCACGACATAATCCAACTCATTTAACTTAGATTCAATTTCATAAGGCCCACTGAAACTATAGCTTTCAATGAAAAACTAACACTTGTTCACCTCTAGCATCTTTATCGTACCATTGTTTCGTTCTATCTTGACTTTGCATTTATTTCCCATGTCTTGTTTAGGCGCTCTTTAAAATTTGACACATAGTCTAACAAATTTATGTTTTCATCCTCGTCTAACCACTTCTACTTCAACATCATTAATGGTCCCCGCATCGTTCGTCCAAACACAAGTTCAAACGGGCTCAATCCCAAAGATTCCTGTACACTCTCTCGCACTCCAAACAAAAGCAAATGTACACCTTCGTCCCAATCTTTCTCGTATTCCATACAGTATGACTTAATCATTGTTTTCAAAGTTTGATGGAAACGTTCCAATGCCCCCTGTGATTGTGGGTGATATGGAGTGGATTTGAATTGAACAATCCCTAGAGTAAACATGACTTGTTGAAACAAGGTTGACATAAAATTAGACACTTGATCTGACTGGATTGTTTTAGGTGAATGTAGGTAAGAATGGCCCCGGATAAATTGGCCCCAGAAAAAATGGCCCCGGAAAAAATGGCCCCGGAAAAATTATGGCTCCATATGACAGGTAGGTAAAAATGGCCCCAATGAAAAATTCGGTAATAGAAATGATATATTTTTTTTAATCTTCAAATATTTAAATACTGTATAAGCAAGAATTTAATAAAGAAATAAAAAATGGCCCTCAATTATAAAATTCAAGAAAAAAAAATTAATAGTAAATAAAAAAATAAATGCTGTAAAATACCCTGTAGCAAAAATTTAATTAATAAATCAACATAAAGAATATGCCTATTTGAGAACTAAAATAAATTAGTTTTTGTTACAATACTGTAACTTACAAAGCAACTTTTAAAAAATAGTAACATTGCATGCGCTAAAAAAGATGCTGTTAAATTAGTTATTAGAAACTTTTGAGTAGGAATACATATATACAGTACAGTAATGTACAATA